TTCTCAGTAGCTGGGAGGACCAAGAGATCGCCGTAGGAATCCCCCCAGATGGACAAGCCAGCGATTGAAAGCGGCTAGAGTAAGACAGTTGAGCGCTCTGAACTGCCAGTAGTATTCGTATGTAGCTACGGTGCAGTAAAGGCAGGGAATAATGAGCTGATATGCCCCAAAGTACACGAGTATGTGCACTTGCTAGGTGCTGCGTGCTGCGCTGCCCTGGCTTACCAGGCGTGTTTGTAGTGGTAACTCTGCCTCTTACTGCTTGTAAGTGCAGAGGTTGGTCTCGGCAACTAGGATGGTGCCCTTTGGCGTGCGTTTTCCTGCTACGAAGTTGGTGGTGGCTAAACGGGTAGCCTTGAGGGCTTGTCTTCTGTTTCTGGCGCAGGCGTGCTCCCATTCACACTCCCGTCGCTGGCACTAGTTCTTTTGGAGCTTGGAGCGCCAGCAGAGAGCGTTGCTTCCATATACTCGTATATGATATACTGCGGAGTAGGTAGGTTCTGTGACTTGCTCGTGTTGCCGTCGACAGCCCGTACCGTAGCTGCTGCATGTCTGTGCGTAAGCGTAGCGCTCCCTGCTTGTGAGAAGCATCAAGGAGTTCTCCGTAGCAAGGCTTCGACGAGGGAGAGCTTGGGAACTGTCGGAATTGTTGACCGGGGAGCCCCCTGGCGACTCTTTCTTTCCGAGCATGTGGACAATTTGGGCTCCATCATTGAGTGCCTATTCAAGGTAGAACAACGATCCACTCAGGCATCCACAATACTTGTAGATGGTCCACGGTAGTCTTGCATGCAACGCCGTGCCGTGCTAAACTAGCGTTGTCTCTGCAAGGCTTGTTTGGCGACCGCTCAATTGGAAACCCATTGCCGCTCAAGCTAGCGCGGCCGATGCGACTTTTGCATGTATGGTCGACGTGTCTGTGGACTCCGGACCTGAGTACCCGTAGTATCTGCATACCTGCGCACCGCCTGTTTCTACACGAGGCCTCTGGACGGGGTTGGCCAGAGGAACGAGCAGCGAGCGAGTGAGCGACTCGTCGCAGCAAGGCAAGCTCCGTTGTGATGTGTGGCGTTGTGCCGGAACCATTGGTTCGGGAGCTGCATATGTACTCGAATCGTGGCCGGCTTACTTAATAGGCCTGAAGAGCTTAGAGCCCGCGTCTTGTCGTGGGTCTTGAAGACTTCTCTCTCTCTCTCTCTCTCCCCGTGAACGGCTAGCCTATCGAAGAAGAACCAGCGGCCGTACATTGCATCCATGCCTCGTATGAAGCGCGAGCAGGTACTCGCAGTACTCCCACGACTCCATATGATGGCCAGCTAGCCAGCCAGCCCGCTGGTGCTGACCGCCCTTCGCAGCATCGTGAGCGAGTTGGCAACCGCCACAAGCTCCCCCATCCCAAACCGGGCAAAGTCTGCGCCAAAAACTGCTAATCTGGCCCAGTTGGCGTTGCCTTGTCGCCGCGTCGGCTCGATTCCGCCAGAGACCAGGCACCCGTACCTACGGGCCACCGATGGACGCTCTGGGTGCAGGCTACAGATATGCAGGTAGGCCACTTGGCACCCCTTGTTCCTTGTCTGCTAACGTGGGAAACGTCATGTGGCAGCGCGTCATAGCCCTGAAGACGCGCTTAGGAGAGCTGACCGTCATCGTTTCCTTTGACAATTCGGGACGGGAGTCTAACTCTCAGGCCGATCGGGAGGGTGTGATAATGCCAGAAGGGCCGCTCCTGGTAGATATGGTGCTGGTCGGTGGTGCTCTGGTAGCCATGGGCCGGCCGACTCTGCTCCATCCCAGACCGACAAGTAGCTTCCGGGCAAAGACCTGCGCGGATGCCAGGTAAAATGACAGGCAATTGGCAAGCCAACAGCAACATAATCGTAGTCATGGCTAGCATGGCTTCATGTGTCGTATATGCGAATGCGCATTTTGGTTCAGTGCAGAGAGAGATGATATAATTCTCAGGTCATAGAGCAGCCGCCCTAGCCAGCAACAATAGTACGGAGTACCGGAGTACTCCGTACGTACATGCCTCGTACATACTCGTACAATGGCATTGTAAGGCCTGGCATGCGCTGCAGTTGGTGTCTCTCGGCACAGCGTCATATAGACGCCCATGCTCGGAAGTGATCGTTGTCACCGCACGTCAGTGGGGACCGAAAGAAGGAAGAATGCCTATAGAGCCAGGCTAGACTCGACCAAGAGGAGCTTTGCTTCGTCTGTTGTTGCGTCTTAAAAAGTACCTGTGTACATACGAGTAGCCACGCATCAATGTGACGTGTGGCTCATCGCGGCCTATGATCGTTGGGTGAAAGAGCTAGTCTCTGCCGGAAGGCTACCCGGTGATATTGCTGAGGAAATGAATGGACGGCTGGCGCAGAGGCTGAACACGGGCAGTCAAGACACAGCTTGGCGGCTTGGTGATTTTGCACATGAACCGTGGCGCGCGCCATCCTCCTGGCCCATCCACCTTTTTATTCCCCGGATGCCAGCTGTACAATGTGCCTCCCCCGGTCCAGTAGGCTTCCATTCGCGATTGCAGTCAACTTTCTTCAGTCGCCATCCGCGGCGCGCTCACGAATCGCGGCGATGCATTCGTGCCGTCGGCCTGCTGTCGATGCAGACGAGAACCGACACAGGCAGAAGCGGCCGGACCCCGTCACATTGCTTGGTGACCACGGACCAGTTGATCGTTGTTGAACTGAAGCCAGAGCTCGTAGAGGTACTCGTACCTAGCCAGAGGACTCCATGTTCGGTGCTAGCCAGCGTGCTAGACCAAACCAACCTTCTGGTGCCTCTGAGCCCTGCCGGGGTAAAAAGGGTTGTTGGAAGGGAAAAAAAAAAAGGGGGGGGGGGGGGGTAGAAGGTGATAGTGAGTGCACACCGTCACCTAGGCTAAGACGCAACTCAAACATCCCTGCCCGCCGCTGCCGACTCCAACACCGTCGTGGACCCAGAAGAAAGACAAGAGCTGTGCTGTGATTCTACTAGCGGGTTCTTCGCAGTGGAGAGAGACCGCGGTTGATGGCGATGGGGTCGTGCTGCGGCTTGCTGCACCTCTACCTGCTTGTAGCTCGACTGACGTTTCGCTCTCCCTGGTCTGTCTGGCCTGGCTCCGGCATGGGTCAAATCACTGATGGCTCCGTCCACGAAAAACCTCCATGTACGGTATGTGGCGCCTCCACCCCCATGCTCGCTCACAGAAACCCTGGCTGTGGGACAGACCATTGGGCTGGCGTGACCATGACCATGCGAATGCTTCGTAGCAGTACTTTCCTTCCTTCATCGAGACGACAAGGGGCCACCAGCGTGGCATATTTCAAGCCGAACTGTCAACAAGTCAATGCTCCCACTGTGGCTTGCCATCCTTCGCCAGCCAAAAGCTCTCTCATGAGAACTCTTCCATCGCCTTTTCCTCGTCACACAGCTCCCGCCTTCTCTTCCTTTGTCTGCCTTTGCCAGTGCCGCGAGTGAATCCTGATACGGTTGACTTGTCGACCTCCTCGGGCTCGTTGGACCTCTTCGAGATAGAAAGCTCCGGCGTCGTTTGTTGGCGGCCTCGACTGGGAGTTGTAGGACTTCAAGTGCATCTAATTTTGTCCAAAGCACTCCGGCTCGGCGTGATTTGTACCCAGTACCAAGTTCAAAGTACTGTAATCTGCTCTGATCGGTACCTTCCTCACCAAGGCCTCATTTTGTCCGTTGTTCTTTGTCCGTTTGTTCTTTCTTCTTTATTCAGGTAAGCAGCTCCTTCCCTTCCCTGCCTCCGCCTCATCTGCCCGTGTCCCCAGTTTTGCCTCTACCTCATCTCGATTGTTTTTTTTTGCGACCTCGTGAAATCTTCTTTGGCCTCTTCCTACCCTCGAACCTCACTCACGCCCCCCTCACTATCACCGTTCTCTCCTTGCTCTGTCTATTCGGACTTCCCACTACCCGAGTACGCTCTCGAGAGGAGACTGCACGCAATCTCAGTCTTTGCGGTCCGGTATACTCTGGCATTCCTTTTAGTTCTGGAATACTATCAGAGCGGACTGCAGACTCGTCGAAGGCTGCTATCTCGAGTTTGTCTTTGCCCTCATACACGATAGAGCACAGTCTTGCATCCACATTCCCCCTCTTCTTCCTCCGCGGAGGAAACGAAACTGCGTGGCAGACGATTGGTTGGCTGGGCTCTCCTCCCGTCTGATATCTCATAATTGTCATCCCCTTCGGCTGGCGGAATCCTAGAATCCAGATTGCACCAAAAGTGATGTTTTGCTGCAGTTTAGCTGACTTTGTCACTGAAGCTTTTAACTCGAGCTAGGAGCCTGAACGAGTCCCTTGATCCAGCAGACACCGGGCTGCATAATACCATAATACCTGTTAATTAACTTTATCTATCTCTCGTGGGCGAGCTTACATTCTCGATCAAAATCCCAAAACAGACCCTCTCGGGCCTTCTGGTTTTCTCGTGGCAATCATCACAACAACCCTGAAGCAACCACTAATACTTAACTCCGCGGGCTGCAACCTATTGACATACTCGTTTGGATATATTCTGAGTTGTTGAGCGAGGAGTTTGTTGAGTTAGAAGAACGGATTGCATTGTGGACTGTCGGCTTGATCGCCTGCTGTCCCTTCCAGTACCGCAACCGAGTCTCCATTCAAACCATTCACCACTGTTAGTCTCTGGGGCTGTTTGGGTATATTCCCAGCCGGTCCCCGACTACACCACGGCCAACCTGGCGAACACTTCTGTAGACGTGCGGCAACGGGCGCTGCCTGCTCCAGTCAAGGACAGCCCTGATCTTCACTCCGCCGATTCCTCCGGAGCCAGTACGCCAAATTCCCCCAACACGCCAACTACTCCGTCGTGGCTGTCGAAAACTCTGTCCCGGTTTACCTCCCCCAAGCCTCTGTCCCGGATTACGTCCCCCAAGTTCAAACTGCGATCCCTGATTGGTGGAGGAAAAAATCAATGTACTGATCCTCGGGATCAGGAGTGTGTAGGTGATCAGGTCTCGATGTCTCAAAGGGGACTTGGCCCTCTCCCGCCCTCTCGTTTCTCCTCGAGATCTCCTGTCAGCAATGAACAGTTCTCTCAGTTTGATTCGCAGCGGTATGAACCATCTGGACTATCCCCTGAGGTCGGCCGTGCTGCTCAGCATTCGGCCAAGTCATTCGGAGTCCACAACATTCTGAATCCCTCCGACTCGCACTCCATGGGCCCCGACAATAGCGGACGACCACCTTCGCGAGCAAGGGAAGCCGAGGCTTTCCAACCAGCATCTTCAACTCCTTATGGCATTCCGCGTCCCTACCTTCATGGCCATGCTGCTACCAGTTCTCTCCCAGCGACTCCAGTTGCTGCAGGTGTTACGCCTACAGGCAGACCTCCGATATCCGAACGAAACTCTCCTTCATCGGCATACCCTTTCCCCGTAATGAACCCCCAGAGGAAGATACTCAGTCCCAAACCCCCCCGGGCTTTGAGTCTTGGTCAGGCTCTTCCTCCTCGGGACCTCGATCCGCGACAATCCTTGGCTCCCAGTATGGCTTCCGCAAAACGACCTTACGAACCAGATACTCCCGATGAGCCCAGGCACGCTCCCGGACTTCATCAATCAGGCATTGCCTCTGGCCAGAACACTCCAATGGTGACCCCACCAAGAGATTTTTCTCAGCCTTTAGCCCGTCCCTTGGATACTCCTCAAGTACAACCGCCGACAATCCCCCCGCCGGGAGATCTTCAGAGTCGACCACATGGATTACATACACCGTCACAGTTCCAACACGGAATCACCGGGTTGTCCACAAGCCGGCCGATTTCGAGAATGGGAGGTCCGACCGAGGGAACACCACCATGGCCAGAGATGTTGCGTCGACAGGGAAGCTCGTTTGTTGGGATGGAATCTCAACAAGCCTACATGACTCTTCCGGGCAGCGACACACCTATCCCTGTTCAAGTAGACTACTCCCAAGCATCAAAGAAGGCAGACGAAAAGAGGCAGCGAAATGCAAAGGCATCGACCCGCCACCGCCGGAAGAAGAAGACACTACAGGAGGAAAACATGAAGCAGCTGCAGGAGCTTAAAGAAGAGCGACAGCAGATGCTACAACGACTCGAGGAGCTCGAAGCCCATAGGGACTTTTACAGGGACGAACGCAATCGGCTCAGAGAAATCGTAGCCCGAACACCCACTATAAGTAATCATGCTGCCGGACCACAAAGCCCTATTTTGTCGAAGGGCATCAGCTTTGCGGATCGAAGCCCCTTGATGCAATCCCACCACATTCCAACTCCCACTCAAGGTTACGTGAGCGAGGTGTCATCGGCGGAGCGGCCCGGACCGGTTCGACGCACAGACGATCGTCCCGATTTCTCACCTCCGGTATATGGTGCTTTGTCCGGCGGTCCGACGCACGGCCTCCCGTCGATGCACAGTCCGGCTTATGGAGTGCCGCCGCCGCGACCCTCGTCAGCTACTTCGTCAGCGAGCGGAGAACGATTGCCTCCTCTGCGGGTAATGGAAGGTCCTCCTCCTCTCATGCATGGGTTGGGTCACGGACAACCTCAAGAACAGGATCTGAGGACTGGTCAGTGGAGGGCAGCTCATTCAACCCACTTCGAAACTGGCTGGGCAACCGCACCGCGAAAGCACCAAGACCACTGGTAGTACACCGCTGATTCTCCACCTTCTGCTGTGCGACACTTTGTGCGGCTTCACGACTCCTCTCGATAATACATGTCTGTGCTAGCATCGGCATTGACGCAGCACTTGACAGACCGATCTCACCATAATACTCATAATCTATCATCGCTTCCACGATATCAATTTTTCTTTGATTTTGGACAAAAGCTTTTAATTTTTGGGTTCCTGGCTTGTACCAGCGCAAATACAATCTCCGTCGGGCAACCGACATTTCTGACTTTACATATAGTAATTCGTCTTTGCTCTACTTGTTTTCATTCTTTAATTATTCATCTGTTACTATCATTTATACATTATAGCTGTCCGCTCAATCAAGCGACTGGTCGCGATCAATGCTCGCCCAAGTATCACCGGGGATGTGAGGCAATGAATACCACCCTCTCTTGCCTTGTTCCTAACGGGAATAATTTATTCAACTATTGGGGAAAAAATTACAAGAGTCAAAAATAACAATCAACTTGAATCAAACCAGCTGTTTTGATTCACCATTGCATTCGTTTATCTCAATATCTATTCACTTTATGAAATGCTTGCCCAGAATGGGTGTCCACCTACGAACAACGAAGATATACTCCTGTGGATTGATTGCCACTGATGGAAGAAGAGGACTATTTGAAGGAAAGAGGAAAAAGGGAATGCGAATGGAGGTTGTTTAATGATGGTTTTGTCGGTCCTTACACGTCCCCGTCTGCTCTTTTACGGCTGTCAAACTGGTGCTCTTATGGATTTGGGAATACAACAACTATGTAGTCAGATTGGATGAAGCTTCACTTCTCGAAACGCCTGGAAAAACGCATGTTTCTATTGAGGTTCAGCACGGTAAAGAACTGATGAACAGAGAAGGATTTGGTTTGCTTGGGAATTTGCTGGATATAGGACACATATCCTCGTGCTCCAGACTACGGGCACGGGTGACCAAAACAAATACATATTAATTGTGGTCAACAGGAAGCGCGAGGCCCTTTAGAATGACAAGTGATGTATTTATATTTATTTGTATTTTATTTGTACTCGTACTTGATCTCCAGGTCTCGGAACTGGCTCCGTGATGTGATGTCGAGTTGCCGAATTCAAGCATGGCACGTACCATCTTGTATCGGAGAGGATAGATCCGATCTCCGAAGTGTGGGGCGATACACCCATCGTCAACTTCAGATGACATCTCCAACAGACAGAATAAGCGGGACTGCAAGTTACCAAATACATCGAATTTATTTTCCCACTGGGGAGACGGAAAGGGGGTTTTGTTGGCTTTCCTTGCTTCACCTCCAGTTTTACCGTGAGTGTCTCTTTTGCGAATGGGATCATGCGTTCAATGGACGAACTGTTTGAGTTTGCAACGGCCGTATTACAAATGGACATGGATCCAATATGTGTATAAATTACTTGAGCTGATCACTGTCTACTCGGCTATTTGCAGCGCCATATACAGAGAGTCGTCATATTGAAGCCGATACGAACTACTACTGGACCTTCAAGGATACGGCTTGATCACCTATCGAAATGTTCATAGGGAGGTGTATGGCAGCGGCAAGGGTGACGAAACCTATACAAAGTGTCGTCTCTCATCACAGTTGCATTCGGCAATTTAGTCATTCCCCATGGCTGGGGTCGTCTCGCCTGGAAACTGAATTGTCGGCGCCAAACGGGATAAGATGGACACAACCTTTGGGCCTGTTCATTGACAATCAATTCAGCGAAAGCAATGGGGGAGATACGATAACGACAATCAACCCATAGTATGTAGTGCCAGCCATCCTCTTCCTATTCCTGAATGTCTGCTGTTGCGGGTTTTATTTGTTTCTTCTTTTGCTCTTCTCTTTTGCTTACTTGCCGCTATCGAATCTTTCGCAGTACTGAGCGAGCCATTTGTTCCGTATTCGCAGCTGAGGAACCAGATGTAGATAGAGCGGTTCAGGCAGCTCGCAAGGCACTTAAACATCCAGAATGGAGGCTGCTGTCCGGCACCGAACGCGGTCATCTGATGAATCGGTTAGCAGATCTGGTGGACAAGCACGGCGAGATACTTGCTGCCATTGAGACGCTCGACAATGGCAAACCGCTGTCGGTATCCCGCAGCTTCGACGTGCCACATTTCTCCGAGGTCCTTCGCTACTACGCTGGATGGGCAGACAAGAACCCAGGCTCGGTAATCGATGTTGGCCCAAAGAAGATGGCCTACACTGTGAAGCAGCCTGTTGGAGTCTGCGGCCAGATCATCCCTTGGAATTATCCACTTGACATGGCGGCATGGAAACTCGGACCGGCGTTGTCGTGCGGAAACACGATTGTGCTCAAGCTGGCGGAGCAGACGCCCTTGTCCATGCTTTACGTGGCATCGCTCGTCCGTGAGGCTGGGTTTCCTCCAGGAGTTATCAACATCATCAACGGACGAGGTGGGCAGGCCGGCGCTGCCCTGGCGCGGCATCCAGACGTGGATAAAATTGCCTTCACTGGCAGTACGGCGACGGGAAAGGAGGTGATGCGAATGGCCGCCGGAACACTCAAGGCTGTCACTCTCGAGACGGGTGGCAAGTCGCCGCTGATTGTTTTTGACGATGCAAACTTGGAACAGGCCGTCAGATGGGCACATGAAGGAATCATGGCAAATCAGGGGCAAGTGTGTACAGCCACGTCGAGGCTGTTGGTGCAAGATGCCATCTACGACCGTTTCGTGGAGAGATTCAAGGCCTTTACCGAGAAAACATCAGTCCTGGGCGATCCATTCGACCCCCAAACGTACCAGGGGCCGCAGGTCGGCAAGACGCAGGCTGAACGCATCATGTCCTACATCTCATCTGCACGAGATTCTGGCGCCCAAGTCTTTCACCCACACAAACAGCCCGTGCCATCCAAGGGCTACTTCACTCCGCCGACGATTCTCACCAATGTGGGCACCAGGACAGCTGCCTTTCGAGAGGAGATCTTTGGGCCGGTCGCAGCCGTTGCCAGATTCAGCAGCGAGGAGGAGGCACTGGAGATTGCCAACGAAACGAGATATGGACTCGCGGGCGCCGTATTCACAAAAGATCTGGGCAGAGCATATCGTGTGGCTCGGGATCTTGAGGCTGGGATGGTATGGGTGAATAGTAGCAACGACTCCGACGTGAGAGTTCCATTTGGAGGGGTTAAGGAGAGTGGCCTGGGGAGGGAGCTTGGCGAGGACGGCCTGAGAGGATATTATACCGTCAAGGCGGTGCATGTGAATTTGACGGATGAGTGAGTTGAGGTTATAGCTGTGGCAGAGTATCCATCCCATATACTGCCAGTATATACACGGGTGAACGTAGGTACAGTTTTCTTGCCATCAAGTCACCGCGGCAAGATCTTTTGTGCTCGATTGTGTCAGGTAACTCAGTCAAAACTAAATGATATTAATTCACTGTTGGCAGATCATAATGAGGCTTTTCATTCATGGAATATACATAGAAACCGGCTGAAGCCGAATGTAGTGGCATCTCGCACTCTCGGCGCCCGTGGAGGTACAAAGTACAAGGTACCTCGAGCATTCCGCCACCCCTGTCAGCTCACTCACTAAGGTAACCCGCAGCGATCCCCCGCCAAATCTCTCCAAGCTCGCGGAATCTGAACATCTGGCCACAAACCACTCCAGAGCCTTCCATCCCAGCTCGATGGCTCCCTGAACTCGATCGCGCACGTGCACTCCCAATCGATAGCTGGCGACTGTTCTTCCTCTCGTGACCTTGACCGCCGCGATTTCTTCCCGAGTTTCTAACCAGCAGGCGGGGGTTGAGCAACCAACCCGCGACATCCAGCCCTGACATCATCGACCATGGCGCTCCCATTCCTGCAGGCGAACATCAAGCTCGACTACCCGCTCTATGCAGTCAGCTTTGATCCTCAGGATGCCAATCGCATAGTTGTCGGCGGCGGCGGCGGCGTTGGCCGTTCTGGCGTGGGCAACAAGATTGTACGTGGGCTCCTGGACCTGGTCCCTAGCTACCAGCGGCCAGCTTCTGTCTTTCGAATGCTGACTCTTGTTCTCTTTGTCACCAGTCCGTTGTTGAAACCGTCGATCAGGGCGAACTTCGAGTGGCTGGAGACATCGACCTCTCTCGCGATGAGGACAGCGTCATGTCGCTCGGCGTCGTTGGCGCCGTCGGCGACAAGCCCTCGTACGTTTTCGCGGGCATCAACTCGGCGCCCAAAGAAATCACCAAGGGAAAGAACTTCCACCTTCGAACCTTTTCCATCGAGCAGACCAAGTCGCGAGCTGCCGGTGCTAAGAACCCCGATGTACAGGTCGCAGAGGTGTCTCGAAGCTCCTACTTCACCGACCGGGATGCCGAAACCTACCAGCGCGTGTTGCGCGTGTCTGGGTCGGTTGGCGCCGCCGCCACAGGCATGGGAAAGGAGCCCCAGCTCGCCATATTCGATGCCACGGGACCCAAGCCCAAGGTCAAGGGCGTGTTGGACTTGACCAAGGACGCGGAGGACGTGGATGTCATTCAGGACGAAAAGAATGAAGAGCACCTGGTTGTCTACTGCCACAAGTACGAACTATACTTGGTCAAGGTCGGCAAGAAAAACTCGGAGCCGCAACTCATCTTCACCATGACGGACGATCATGGCGAGCTGCCTGCATTCCGCTCCGTTCGATTCGTGACACCCAACTTCATCCTCGCTGCGTCCAACCTACCAAAATCGAGCGGCGTTCTCCTCCAGGGATTCCGACTGCCAAGCCCAGGCCATGAGATGGCACGGATATCTGTGGTTGTACGTATCCCGAAGAGAATCTCCGCCACTGCCCTTGCAGTCGCAAACGTATCGCCGCCCGCGTCTTCGTCGACACCTGCTGGCACTACGCAGTTCATCATTGCGGTAGCCGGCAACGACGCCTCCATATCTTTCTACACCATGGATCACAAAGCTCTTGCCTCGATTGAACTTCTTGCCAACCTGCACCCGCTGTACACATTGAAGGACGTTCACAAAGGTGATAATATCACTGGCCTAGCGTTTTCCAACTTTATCCCTCCAAAGCAGCACCTCACGCAGCAATTCATCAAATTAGCCAGCATATCTCTCCAGCGCGGCGTCGCCGTCCACAGCATCGCTCTGAAGAGGCACGTCGATGCGTCCTCTGCGAAGACGTCCGGTGATGCACCAGTCCGATATGTCACAGCCATGCGTGCCAAGGCACCCTCCAGGCGACCTGTCATCATCACCCTCACCATCATGGTTCTCATCATGGCCATCATCGGGCAGGGTGTCATGGAGATCTACGGCGTGGGCAAGCCCATACTCAATCCGCAAAGGTTCTTTAACCCTTGGCATGGCACTTTGCGCGATCCGGCTCACCCACCGGCTGCGTTTACCAAGGACTATCTCGTCTCTCGACTAGTTGGTAGCGACATTAATACCGCAGAGACGCTCGTCATGTGGGAGGCTGACCATCCCGCTGTGGACCATGATGGCAAGAAGATCAATCTGGACGTCCATGATGAAGAGGTCCACGGCCCCGCCAAGACGTGGGATGAGCTTCCTGCAGCGCAAAAGGATGCTTGGAAGCAGAGAATGCAGCAGGCTGGCGCGTGGACGCAGAATATGGGAGAGAGCGTGTTTAGGGGCATCCTGTTTGGCGAGCTGGCAGGCGCTGTTGGCCATGCCGTGGCGGAAGGACTGGCTTAAAAGGCCTCTATTTTCAACGGCAGCCCTCCCTTTTTCTTCCTTCCATGTAACGATGTGCTCAATATGGCGGTCGACAGTTGATTATGTATGATGGATTTCGGACATTGCTAGGACGCTAGTTGACCCATGGCTAATTTCGGGAATTTGAGCAAAGGACGCTCCGGACTTTTGATGATGATTTATCTCAGAAGTAGCAGTATATAATGGAGCTAATGGATGTATAACTTCTACATTTTCTTGCTTATCTCGTCCTTTCTCGTACTTAACCATGATACCTATGCCCAGCTTGCGCCGCAGTTCCCAGGGATATACTTGGCGACGTCCATGGCAAGCGTCATCTTGATCTCTGGGCAGTATTTCCACACATGTTCTCGTAGTTCTGGCATTCCCCAGATTGGGCTATGTAGAAAGGAACCACTGCCGCCAATGTGGTAGCCCATTGGCTCGTAGAATCCTGCTCTCCAGTCGTCAACCCCTGTGACATAGTCGTCACTGTCAGCGTGATTCATGCTAGAAGAGGTGCTAGAGGTGCTAGAACTATTTATAGTCTGCTCAGACCGTCCATCGTGCATCTCGCCCGAAAACGTCATCGAGATGGATCCGTTGGCCACCTTTCCGCCGGGATGGTGAGCAAGGCGTTCAGAGAGCCACACGTCTTCGGGCTCAGAGTCGTTGGCTCGCCGTTGATTGCGTAGAATGTCGATGATGCGGCTCACGCGCCTCAGCGACAATCCTCCGTTGCCACCCCACTGCCCGCCAGGGTTCCACGGCGCGCCGACCCAGTCGTATTCCAGATAGTCGTTGAGATTCAGCCTGCTGTTCCCGCAGAGCATGGAGTCCGTCTGGAAGACCAGCAGCCATTCCGCCGGCTGGAGCACAGCCTCGTACAACCACAGCGTGGTGAGAAACTGGCTAATCTCTTCCTGCCCGGTGGTGCTCATGTTTTCGGGTATGTACGTGAGGTCGAGCTTCCCGGCGGCGACCTGGTGGCGGATCGCGACGGAGCGGTTGATGGAGGCTACGGAAAGGCGGGAGCCCATGAAGCGGAAGTGCCAGTCGGGGGGCACGACGGAGATGAAGTGTAGCATGAGAGGGGCTAGGACGGCACTGGGGCGGTTTTCGATGAGGAGGGCGACTTTGGACGTGTTGTAGGGCGAGATGCGCTTCTTTTCCGGGTATTCGATGGTGATGTGCGGGATGTAGAGGGAGACGTCGATGCTGGAAGAGAGGTGTGAGAGTGTTATGAGGGAGAGTCTAGTGGACGCAAGGTTAGAGAGAGACTGAAGCCAGGTAAAAAGTATTGGGTACAGCAACTGACATGATGGCAATAAGGAGTATCGCGAATCGTCTTCGTCTAAAGCTCCAGAGACAAGCCAGGAGTTTGTTTCCGAGGAATTGGCCATATTCGTTGTTGTTGGGCATTCCGACAGGGCGGGCTTGAGAGTGCTCCTTGATGAGAGGAGATGGCTTGGGGTGCAGAATCAGTCGGCGGTAATGAGGCAGGGAGATGGTGAAAATGCAATCTTCATCTGTAGTTATTCTCGTGGTCATTGGAGTGTTTGATACTTGGCATCTTTCGTGATAAGTTGAGGCAAGATGGGAAGATATGCAAGTACCTGTGTATTTCACAAACGATCCTTCCTTCTGTAGGCTGTTGCCTACTCAACCTTCACCGCCCGCTTTACTCCGATATCTTAGTGGCCTGAGAAATCCTGAATTGTTTCAATCTTGTTCGTTTGTTTATCATTTAGGCCTTTACGCTTGATACTTTCATCCTACGGCTTTACATGATCAGCAAAGTGTCATCACGGCGCCATGTCCGGATTCAACACTTCAGGCGTCCTCAGGTTTGGCCCGGCCCGAATGATGATCCCTATGCTCTTGGTTCTCACGTATGCTTACAAAAGCTCTCTCTACCCTCCAAACTAGAGTCCAAGTGCTGAAAAAACTCGTTGCGTAGGTGGTATCTGGGTCGCCTACACTCCCATTACGAGCCCATGGTCGTCTCCAAGGTCTCATCCAGGCTTGAAGAAGCACGAAAAATGATCCCCAGCGTCAAGCTAGACTGGCCAATTCCCCCAGCCAAAGACCCCCGCACCGCTTTCAACTCGTCAAAGGTCGCTCTTTTGATCGAGGCCAGGCCTCTGCCTCACCTGCCTCCTCTGATACTGCACATGATGGCAGTGGTGCCGCCCGACTGGCGATTCCTCTTCATCGGCTCAAATGAGAGCATAATTGGAGTGAGCCAAGCCTATTCGATCAAACATCAGCAAGTCATTGGCAAGCTGGATTTGATGGAGCTTCCCCTTCCATGGAGTATTGCGAGTAGAGAAGACGTTTTTCGGTTGCTCACTGACTCGAGGTTCTACGACGAGTTTCTACCAGGCGTGGAATGGATCTTGAAATATGAGCATGACAGTATCCTATGCGCAAACTCGGAAACGAGTGTAGATGGCTGGCTTGACTGGGACTGGACTGGCGCCGCGCGGTGTGTATACCCAAAATTGACATTCATTTTCTCAGTATCTTGTCTAACGCTATATGAATGATTCAGCATGGGTGATGAGCGCTTCTCCGGGTATGGCGGCCTCTCTCTACGCCGAGTGTCCGTAACCAAGCAAATTCTCAACTTTCAAGCACGTTTCAACGACTCGGAGCCCGAGGACGAGTGGTTCGGGAAACGCTTATGGGTACTCCCTGATGCCAAAGTTGCATCCACTTTGGATGACGCCATTGCTGTGGAAGACGTGTACAAGGAGAGGCCCATGGGCTATCACGTTCGTGAGGGCGGTAGTAACTTGAACGAGTACATGTGGGGGGACGCAGCTCGGCGGAAGGAGATATTCGAATACTGTCCGGAGCTGAGCATGATTATGGACATGAAATTGGAACGACAGAGATGCCCAGATGATGACGGGAATGGAGATAGAGAAGAAGCCGGTGTCGAGGTGACGACTGCGGTTTTGGGAGAAGGCGATGAATCTGCAGTACTGCCGCCACAACCTCCTCCTTTGCCGCAGTCATTGAAGGGTTATTCCGCTTCTGTTACAACATTTAGAAGCCCACTTCGTACTGGTATAAATTAGAGTTATAGGACATGGAGGTCCTTGTCAAATAATGACGGCCATTATTGCTACATGTCTCTATGAATCACTTGTATTTATCACGGCAATGACGATAATGCAATATCACAAACCCTGTGCAACACAGCTAGTCTCGCCACTTGGACAAGTTGAATAGAGAGAGAGAGAGTCCTCATTATGAATACCCATGTACGTACATACATGTTGTAGACAAATATTCCCCCCTCACCACAAAGCCTTTGTTGTCTGTTTTAAGATTTCCCGAGCGCAGGCCTCGTGGCATCCACACAGCCAGGCTTGGTACGAGCACGCCTCTGCTGAAGAACAAAAGGGCCAGCCATAAGCTTTTCCATCGCCCGAGGTTTCGTCCCAAGATAATAAAACAAGGCGTCCGGTGGCTGGACAAGGCGCTCGCATCTGGTTGGAGGGCGAAACGAAGCAGACACTCTTTTTTAGAACCAACCGTACCTACTGGGTACCTATAGTAGGTTTCTTGGAAAGGTCCCTCGGGTAAGACGAGGGCAACGCTTACGAACGCCTTTGTTCCCGTTGGGCCCTGAGGCTTGTGGGAAATGGAAAAAGAAAGGAAAAAGTCGCTGATGCAGAACCCCCACTGGCGCAAAGCCCGTATTTGCGGATGCAAAGCACGGCTGTTAAGGATGAAGGTGTGTTGTATTACTGTCACTGTCACTCTTCAGCTGTGCTGCAGGTACGGAGTACTTTTGGGACAGAAACATCCTAGACGCCACAAGCTCCGATGCCAAATATCTGAAGGGAGGGGCGCTTTTCTCTCCCCCCTGTTTTTTTTTTTTTCACTTTGGATTTTGTTTTTTGTTTCTGCATTTTGTCAAATGTCTTTTGCGCGCCAGTGTTGTTGAGAAAAAGAGGAAAATAACCGCATGGTTAAACGCAAGCTATCGGAGCATAACAGGTACTCGCGCGGGATGTAACCATGCGTGCACCGACAAAGTGCTAGCCCCATACTGGCAATGGTAAATAAGAGGCGACCAAGAGGAATCAGCATTCCTCATTCCCTCGTCTTCCTACTTTGGGCGACTATTTGCGCCGCAAGGCTCTCTCTGTCCCTCCCAGAAATGGTTTCGTTCAAGGCAGGCAACAAGCGCAACCATCTCGCAACAACAAAAAAAAAAAAAAAGGCGATGGCACACACGACACCAACTTTTTATTTATTTATTTTTTGACAAGTTGGAGCAAGGACAGGACCCTGTTCCTCGGCATCTGCCAAAACGGCCAGCCTAGCGGAAGGAATCAGAAGGGAAAATCGGCGCTTGATCTTCTGCCACTGACGCAGCGCTGCCGAGGAGGCGTCCAATCAACGAGGCCAAGCCAGCTGACACGAACTGGGGCACAAGTCCGGGCCAAGCCATGGGAGAGAAGAAGTTGCTGCATGAACCTTGGCCCTTCGTACATGCTTGGTACTCGTACCTGTTCTGGACCTTGATCGGGAATGGGCTTTGAAAAAGTTGGGCAGTCGGAGTACCTACTAGGTATATAGTATAAAGCGAGCGGTTTACCCAGGGGGGGAAACGACGACAGTAATCGCCCGCAAACCCGCAAAACAACAAAAGAAACCCTGCCCTCGCATCACCGATTCATCGGCCGTACGGTACTCGTACACGATTGCTGCATCTCGGTATGGAAACAAGAGTAAGCGCAGCGCAGCTTAGCATTTGGGGGGAGGGAGGGGGGGGGATTTCGGGCCACACCCCGTCGGAACAAGGCACGGGCGAGGATGGATGGCAAATATTCAGCAACAAGAAGCAGCACTAACGTCGGCGGAACTGGCCCCCTTGTGACACGGGGGGATGCGCCGCACCGGTCCAGCCCACTGATTTTCCCAGCTGAGCTCTTTTCGAGAAGATCAACAGCGCGGGAGAAGCGTGGCGGTTAGGCAGCCTGCATTGGAGAGACAAAATTGCCGTTGCCGAGAGAGAGGCCCCCTTGCGAGCATACCTTAGCATATCCAAGCTGCCGAGTCGTACTTGTAGTTGTATGTATACGAGCATGGAACATCTTCTGAGCGTTGGGCTGGGGCGGTGAATGTCTGCAACATGTACTCGTACTCGCGGTTCCCAAGTCGGACAGACGTCCGTGGAATCAAGTCGTCCGTCTCCCCCAAGTACGGAGTATGTACGAGTACTTCGTACGTACTGGCGAACAATCAATGGGTCCCCGGTTCAAGCAATGCGTGACGATTTGCTTAGCGCCTTATTTGCACGGCACGCTGGGCCGGGCAACCGACCGTGCAGAGTGCGGGATGATACAAGGTGCCTGTACACAATCCTCGTCCTTGCATGCATGTCGGCCTGGCGGAAGGACGGGCATCAATCTGTGACCATGTTGAAAGGCGTTGCGTATTTACCCTTTCTCCCTTTTCCTTTTTATTTGTTTGGTTTCCCCCCGATGCGCCGTTAACAGCGGCAAATAAGAATAAGAAGAAGAAGAAGAAGAAGTAAACAAACAAGTTGGCTTAGTATAGCAGCCAGCCAATTGAGGGCGTCAGATTGGGCGTCGTCCGCCACGCCACTACGAGGTCTGGCGCCCGATGAATGCTGTGCAGAAGGTGCCAAAGAAGCAGCTAAAGACTGCTGGCCTGAAAGTCCCTTCATGTCCCTTCACGCCCATGATTGCGTGGCCTTCGAGAGGCCATGGTTCTCGTACCTGCGCGGGACTGAGACTTGCTGTAGATGTCTCGGAGCTGCTCTGGCAGACAGACCCTTGGGGGGTTTTGTCGCTTATTTTGAAGCTACTTGCAACACCACAGGGGGGGTCCGTCAAAGCGGTGCTGACCTGGTGCATATGAAGATGCTCGTGACGATGATGGCCAAGCCAAGGTGAGATTGCAGCTTGGGCGTCCAGTCCACCATATGTATAACCCGGATTGCATCCCTTCTCGCATCGCCTGTGCTCCGGATTTCAGGGCAGAGCAGACCAGAGCAGAGCAGACCAAGTTGTCGATCTCCTCTGGCTGCTCCAACGGGAGCTAGCGACGCACAGACGGCACGACTTGCCACCATGCAAAAGGAGCTCTGCTCAAGCTGACGAGCGCCGACTTGGCGGTACGAGCACTTGCTTGTCCTGGGCATCCAGTCAGACGGGACGAGGTTGAGGCCTTTGGCTTTGCACACCACCAATTCCGCATCGAGTACTGTACTGTGAATAAGTTGCGTCCTCTCTCGGTACTCGCTCTGCGATGGACACCATGGAACGAGAGGTAATATTATGGAGTTCTCCGTAAAGGGTCCGCCGTGAATTGTCTAGATCCGCCACCATCGAGAGTGGAGCCCCCAAGGTTCAAGCCCAGGTAACGGAAATGGGCCAGGCTTGCCAGGGCTCGACCGCTAATCAATGATCGCGCTCGATTGAAGGCGCCGGGATCCAACGTCTCCTTTCCCTCACTCATCCCCTTAACCCTGGCCTTTTTTGCTGGTACCACGGCACTGGGTACGAGATGAGATGGCATCAAGGCAAGATCCTAGGCAAGGGGGGGCGAGGGCTACGGCTTCAGCTTTTGTTCCATCCGGGCAAAAAAGAAAAGAAAAAAAAAAACAACACACACACACACACACACACGACACATACACTAGCACCAAGCGACTCCGTGCCCGTGGCATCACATCAATTCGATCGCAGGGCCCCCAGGCAGCCTTGGGAGAAGCCGCGGGCGGCGGCTGCCTTTGGCTATTCCCAGCTCGGGGTAGCTGCACGGTATGGAAATCGTAAAGGATGTGCGTGCTGTTTTTGATCAGCTTCCGGAGCTGTGTGGCGGCCATGAGCCTTTTCGCACCCTTGCCTCAAACGGCATAGAGTGGGCAGCGCAGCAACAGACAAGAAACGTTCCGTCTCCCATGTTTCTGAGATTGGGAGGTGGAAAGCTGAAACAGTAGAAGTCAAAAGTCATGCAGAGCCGATGCGCGTGGGGCTCCGGAATGTTCCCTGATTGCTTCTTCCACCTCACCACCACCCGGGATGAGAAGCAACATGACATGAAGCAATTGAACCAGACGTTCTCCTTGTTCTCCTTGTACTGTGCACGAGTAAGTTCCTTGTTGCGGAGAGCTCATCCTATTCCCCGGGTACCAGCTACGAGTACGAGTGCCTTGACCTACGTGCACCTTATCGGACGACTTAAAACTTTGCGGACGCTGACTTTTCAATGTCAAGTGCAGCTCAAATTGGAGCGGCGTGAAGAGCAGAGAAAAGACAAATTGGGTTTGTATGCCTTACTCATTTCCCTACTACCTTAACTTTATCTTGAAAGGCTCGCCAAAGTCCAACAGAGGCTGCTAACGTGCAAGTATGGGAAACCTCCCCCTTGTCAAGCACGGCCACGGACCAATGAGATTCAGTGGGGGGGAACATCCGAAGAGCCCTACCAGCGCTATCATCTGACCTTGAGACTCGCCTCGGCAGATACGGGGGAAGAGAAGAAGAAGACGAAGAAGACGGAGAAGAAGAAGGAGGAGGAGAAGAAGGGGGGGAGCGGCAAGGACAAGCCATCTGGCGCTTTCTTCTTCTGATGATGAACCTGGAGTCGGACAGTTCAAAAAAAAAAAATGCATCAGTCAGTTATACTTTAGTCTCTGCCTGTCTAGCACCTTGCCAGTAGGTATACCTGTAGCTTGTGGTAGTACCGCTACTTGCCAAAGAAGTACCAAGATGTAGGTACGAGCACAAGAGGGTAGGTACGAGTACTTAAGGTAGTATGCCTGTTGGGCATCTGTGCTTGTCTGGTGCCATCAAACTCTCATCTGTTGCCCTGTCGCAACACCTCGCCCGCCAAGTCCAGAGCCTTTCGGTAACGGGATGTGGCTGAGTCTTGGGGTTCCTTGCCTGATGACTCGTAGGGCACGGAAAACAAGAGACTTGCTCTTCTTATTGTACACTTTTGCTACAATCCTACGGTTCCTGAGGGCACTTCTCCATGACGCGTCTAGTGCCAACGTCTTACCTAGCACGAGTCGCCTTGAGCGATGAGGCAGATCACCTGCACGGCTTCTGCCAATTACGGGCCTCTCCTACGAGTAGGTACGAGTAGGTACTACTCTGCAGTGCAGTACATGTGTCGGTATCCCAAAAACCCATCTCGCAGCGGCGGTACTCGACCTACAAGGTGGTCATCGCCGTTTATCTCCCTGGTACATTTCTCTACCAGGGGAGAACTGTACTTGGACACGTACAAGCACGACTTCCACTCACAAGCCTCTGCCTCTAGGTTTAAGAAGCAGAAAAAAAGAGAAGAGGGGTCGAGCAACCACAGGCGCTGCGTGGTGGTGCCCATGCATTGCGCTAGACCTGGGTCTACATGTACCTGCTAGCACACTGCCAGCATTCCCAGCACAAGGTACCTCTGGACAAACCCACCCAACCTGGTCCTGTCCAGTTCCTTTTTCTCCAACGGCGATGCGAATGTTTACTGTAGGATGGCCACTTGATGATTGAATTCTGCAGGTAGAGCACTACCAAGGGATGTGCCTGGTGCTCTGCAGCCCGCCTGCATGATCCGTGACAATGGCGAGTCTGACTTGGTAGAGAGAGACCCCATCTTGCTTCATACCTACCTCTTGGGCTCAATCTCACACTTGGGCAACCCTGCTCTGCTCTACCTGAGTCGGGAGTGCTTGTCTGCTCGTACGAGTGCTATAGTTGGAATGGTCTTCGCAGTCTCTTCGTCTCAATTCTCGCCTGCTGCACAGCACAGCTGCTTATCGCTCGCTCACTCGTTGCTCAGCAAGAGGCACAAACGCCAACGCGCTCAAATAAGACGAGTACTTGTAATACCAGAAGAGCCACTGCCACGGAGGACTAGCTGGTGTTGGATCCCTACTAGCGACCCTAGTAGCAAGTGCCAGGTCCAGGGATTAATCTGAGTGGATAGCCGGACAGGGATGTCGACAGGGACATGGGATCCTGGACTGGTCCACTCGCCGCGAGAAGGCTTCCACGCCTCTGTTTGGCCTCAATCTGTCCAAGCCCTACTACAATTCGATCAGGACTGCACGACCCAGGCGCCAGACAACTGCCAGGCCAAGCCAGGCCAGGCTCAAAAGCTTTTCCCCCGAATGATCCACGCATGTATCCATACCGGGCGTCGTTGCTTGGGTACCCGTCGCTGGCTGGCTGGCTGGATGCTGCACTGACACATGCACTGGCGATGCGGCAATCTGGGCTGGACTGACGGGACTGGTAGGGAGCAAGAGGAGCAATGCCGTCGTTGATGATAGGGCCGCGAATCGAGGCGTCGACAGGACCGTGGCATGGCTTTGCCTGTTGCAACTCTAATACAGCGCTAGCTGGGCATGTACACGTCGCTGCTCATAAGCGGCACCGCCCATTCTCCCTCGCTCTTGGCGGCGAGGCTCCATGTCCATCCAGGTCGCTGTCGCTTTTGTTTTTTACCCTCTGAAATCTCCGCGCTTGGGACTCGTCCAGATCGGCATCGTATCTTTGTCGTCGCGGGAATCGGTGCTGGCGGCGGGCTTGTGATTTGTGGTGTGCCAAGTGAGTGCCAAGTCAGAGAGACCTGATCAAATGCAAATGGTCAGGCGGGAGGTGAGCCGCCTTGTCGCCCGTAAGGTTTAGTTCCAAAAGTTGAATCTTCTGCTGCCCTGTGGCCTGTGGCCTGTGTGGCCTGTGTCCCGTGCGGTGCGATGCGGTACCTGGTACATGTACCTTTTGCATGTACCTTTTGCAGCAAGATGCCGAGTTGCAGGTACCTACGTACCCCCCCAACAGGTAGTGGAATTAGGCTCTCTCCTCCTACCCCAAGCCTGGATTTCCATCGATTTTCCCACTGCTCTCTCTTCGCCCTACAATCCCTCCTCTCCCGCCTTGTCACATTCACCTCATTCTTCCCTCCTCTCGCCTTCTCAACCCTGTCGCGGAAGCCATTTTGCTCTTGTCTTCTCGCACAGCTTCTCTTCGTTTCTCTCTCCACTCTTTCCCTCTCGATTCCCGCTTCCGTTTCGAGATTCCGCCTTGGATTCACGCCATCCGCCACTCTCGTGTCTTGACCGGCCGCTCACAACAATTTCTGCTGGGCAGCCCGTCATATTCCTCTCGCTGCTTACCCGCCGACTCTGCCCTTTCACAACGTCGACGACACATCGATATCCCCCATTCGGCGATCTCCGTCGACCTTGGCTCGGAATTCCATCGCCAGCCATCTCCCGTCAGCTCTTTTGCAACGCATTTGAGGCGAGCCTTGTTGTTTACCACCACAACATCCATACGTTAGCGCCTGGAACCCGGGACTCACCACACACGCCGCGCTCCCTCTCCAGCTCATATCCACCTCTGATATCGAGCGCATGTGCGACCCGACTGTCTGTCCCGATCGCGGCCCAAGAATTTGCGAGGGTGCATCCCCTACGGGGATAGTATACGCAGCTTTAGAGGGCCATCGAGGGCACCTTGCAGCATACCCTTTGGCGGCTACTTGCTTATCGGCCTAGGAGACGTCCATCTGCTCGTCGGCACGCCCACCTTATCTCACCGGCACCGTATCTGGCCCCCCAAAAAAAGAACTACCTTCCCAAAACATCGACCAGTCGATTCTCTCCCGAATCAACCTCCATCGCGATATTCGATACAGTCCGACTACTTGGGTTAGCAATTAGCTTCCGAGTCGGCTTGGAGCGTGTCTGGCGCAAACTCAAGCGGCCATGGCTGCCAATATGCAGCACATGGCTGGGGGAGGCCCGATGATTCCTCAACAAATGCGAAAGCCAACGCCCAACCAGCTACAGCAAATGGTTTTTCAGAATATCCAGCAAAATACACCACCAATGAATGGCATGACGTGGCAATCAAGTTTCTCTGCCAATGAGCGAATGGGCAAAACCTTGGACTTGTACGTACCCCAAATCTTGGTCTGCGGAAATTGCCGATAAAAGTTTAACCAAACTAACTTTGATCTTTAGAATATCTAATATCTCCCTGGCAATGGGTGGCCTCGATTACAACCGGGCGACTGATTTTGGTTGCCAATTCGAGCGAGAAGTGTTTCACAAATCAGCTACAAAAGTGCGTACCGACTGCTCCCAACGAAAAAGAAAGGAGAAGAGAAAGGAGAACCCCTTTTGGCTAACATGATGAATTTAGGAGCAATACGACCAAGCCATGGCTGGCAAAATCATGGACTTTTTCAAGAAGCGACAAGCAAATGAGCCTAACCTTCAGAATAGCATCAACGCCAACGCCCAAGCACAAGCCCATGCTCATGCTCAGGCCCAGGCTCAAGCTCAGGCACAGGCTCAGGCCCAAGCACAAGCCCAAGCACAGGCGCTGATGTTGCAAGCTCAGATAGGACGTGGTGCTGGGCAGGCTCCTCAACAGGGATTTCAGCATATGCAAACCATGCAGGGAAACCAGATGCCCCAGCAGCAGCAGCCCCAGCAACCTCAACAGCCACTGTTTCAGCAACAACAACAAATCGCCATGGGCATGGCAAATCAAGGCGGCCGCGGCATGGGGCCTAATCAACAGGCCATGGGCATGCCGGGCGCTCCCAATAGGCCAACACTCTCTGTTGAGATGGCGAGGCTGGGACCTGCTGATAGGACCAAGGTGAACGAACTTGCAACCAAGATGATGAACCAAGCTACGGAACAGCAGAGAGCCAGCACACGAATGCACTTGCAATCGAGGCTCAGCGCTCAGCAGCTTGCCGAATTCCACGCCCAGGCAAAGGACCCCCTTCTTTGGTGGTACCAACATCAGGCTTTTCAAGCTCTCAAGCAGTCGTCCCTGAACAGCCGATTTCAGCAAGGTGGTCCTGTGAACCAAGCCAACCCTCAGGCCGCCATGATGCAGCAGCAGCATAGCCAGCAATCACTCCAACAGCAGAGGCAGAATATGATCAATGCTGACCCGCAGTCCATCTCCGCTCACGATTTTTCACAGTTTACTCCCAACATGGAGAGCATCAAGGATCAGCAAATGACCGGCCTAATGGCCCAACAGGCGGGCCAAGTCGTCGTACCGGCAAGCAACGGCGCTGGAAGAAACGCCACTCCTCAGCCTGGAAACCAAAATATTCCCAACCAGCAGGTACAGAATCAGACGCCTCGCGCCGGCCAGCAACAACAGCAGCCACAGCAGGCCAAGCTAAACCAAGCCGCTCAGCAGTCCCAGGCCTTGCAGGCTCAGGCACAAATGAAGATGCAGAATCAGCAAATGGGGCAAGGCATGGCCACATCGCAGAGCCCAGGCATGAACACGCTGAATACGCCCGTAACAAGGCCTGGTGGCATCAACCCCATGGCACAGCAGGGCATGGGCCAAGCTGGCGTCCAATTTGGTGACCAGCGGTTTCACCAAGGAATCCAAAGGCCCAACAATGCCGCGTTCAATGCCATGCTTGCCAACATGACCCCGGAACAAAGGCAAGCCATCAATGGCCTCCCCCAGGAGAAGCTCACCGAGGTTCTGCGGCGGTGGCAGAGTCAGCGCCAGGAGCAGATGCAAGCGATGAATGGGAACCAGATGATGCAGCAACAGATGGCCAATCGTCCTCCGAACCAGTTTGGTCCAATGGGGGCCAACGTGGGCCCCGGTCCTCAGGCCATGCCTCAAGGGAATGGCGCTGGTGTAGGCAACCAGCAACAGACAATGCAGATGGGACGCATGGGACCGCCGCAAGGCCCCCAGCTTGCGCTCTTGATGGATTCGATGGATTTGCCTCCCAACATCATCAACCAAATCAATGGCTTGCCCGTAGAGGTTAAGAAATGGAGAGATTTGAAGGCGTGGATCACCCAGAACAACAACAACGTTCAACCACATGTCCGCAATCAGCTACTGGCTTTCCAGCAGAAGCAATTCCAGGTCCTTATGCAGAGGCGGGCGGGCAATCTACCCCAGCAGCCCGGACAGGCTCTCAACATGAATTCAGGTATTCCCATGCAGATGGCTGCTAACCAGCAAGCGAATATGCAGCGACCGATGCCAGGCAATATACCGCCACAGCTGCTTCAGGTATCAGCTCAGGAGATGATGCATATTCGCAGTCAGAAACCTGGGTTGGTCAACGTCCCCGACGATCAACTCCGGAATATGATTCTCCAGATGAAGAGGACTAGCTGGCAGCAGCAGCAGCAGCAGTTGAGAGTCCAGCAGGTTCAGGCGGCGCAAGCTCAGGCTAACCAGCAACAACCTACGCCCAACCACATGGCTGGGGTCCAAGGTCCTATGATGCTTCAGCAGCAGCAGCAGCAGCAGCAGCAGCAGCAGCCCCAACCCAATCTCACTCCCCAAACTCAGGCGCAGACGATGCCAAATGCCATGAGCCAGACTGCCTCGATGCAAGCGAACAACCAGAAGCAGCAGCCAAATGCAAACCAGACTCAGACGCGCAACAACCAACCCCAGCCCCCGAAGAATCTCAAGCGTCCTAATCCAGACGACAGTGCTGATACTGCTGGCGCAAAGGCTCCTACACCCGTCGCACGACCGGCAGCGGCACCGCCACAGCCAGCCCAACAGCCAATCCAGAGGATGGGGCCCAAGTTCTCCAACTTTACACCGCTTACGCCTCAGCAGGAAGCATCCTTGACTCCCGAACAGAGAGCTAGATATGAACAGATCCTGAAGAACCACGGCAAGGTGCCGGCGGCCGCGAGCACAGGAGCTGCTGGCGAATCCCTCAACCGCCTCAAGCTTATTGGGCAAGAGGAGCAAAGGCAATTCAGTCAAGAGCAGATGGTGGATATTCCAATGGGCCCCGAAGAATATGCGGAAACCGCGCAGAAGCTGAAGCGAATCGTCTCGGACATGAGCAAGGTCGGGCGTGGACTGAGCAAATGGTACTCCATCACACAAGATGATGCGCGTGCCAAGATGTTCTTTAGAACTGTAAGTTGATTGCTAGGAATGCTCTTGTTCCCCAGGATTCATGCTAACTTTGGATCATAGCGATTGCGTATCATTAAGCAGCACGTAGATGGCGAACAGATGGAGGCAATGAAGGATGTGTTCAGCATCCGCTCCTCCGATCTGGACCAAGCTCGCGCTATGCTTGAGAGTATGGCCAAGGACTTGGCGGCCAGCGTCATAGGCCGGCACATGATGAAGCCCGGTGCGCAGGCGCCAGGTCAGCAGCAGGGCCAACAACAAATGAAGCAATTATCTCTACAGCAGCAGCAGCAGCAGCAGGCACAGCAGCAGGCCCAACAGCAGGCTCAGCAACAAGCTCAACAGGCTCAACAGGCTCAACAGCAGGCGCAGCAAAAGAACCAGCAAGCACACCCCGCTCCGTTGAACGCTGCCAACCTAGAGAAGAATGCGCAGGCGTTGAACAAGTTGAATCAGCAGAAGCAGGCCAACAAAGCAGGCCAGCCCCCGCCTGCGCCGACGACAACCCAACCGCCTTTCCCATTCGGGGCAACTTCGCCTCATGGTAACCCAAACTACATGAGCAAGCCGAAGGACCTCAACCTGCAGCTACCGCCCGCTCGCAAGAAGCAAAAGATTGCCAGTGGACAACAGTCTGGCCAGTCATCTCAGGGAGCCACCCCCTCGCCACAGATCGCAAAGAATGTCTCCCCCGATATGCGCCGCCCTCAGGGCACCCCGAAGCCCGTCATCCTCTGCACTGAGCCCGACTGCGACATGTCTTATGTTGGCTTCCATACCGAGCAAGCACTACAGAATCACATCGAGGAAGAGCATACCAAACCCAAGGAGGATCCGGTCAAATTCTTGCAAGAGAACCTGGCGCTGGCGTTGGGCTTGGAAATTGACGGCAGCGTCAAAAGGGAGCAGAAGCCTGTGGATGGTGCCCAAGCCATGAGCGCATCCACGTCGAAGCAGGGCCAGGGTTCCGGAAACCTTGCCGGCACGCCCATGTCCCAGGATGGCACAGGCATGAAGAGGTCGGTCAGCTCAATGAGCAAAGATGCCAAGGCTGGTGTCAAGTCGGATACAGGCGCAAAGCCCGGTGACGGCAAGCAGGCCAGTGACGTTGCGAAGGTGGATCCATGGGCCAGCTCGACCATTGACCCTCAGACGTTACTCCAGAATTTGGGGTTTGAACATGGACTGCCAACTGCCAGCCATGATGCCAAGATACTCAAGCTGCTCACGCCAAAGGGCACGCCAGACTCGGGCAAGGAGAGCGAGCCCAACAGTGATATTTCCGAAGGTGCTGCACTTGACATTTCAATGTTTTGGCACAGCCTGGACCGAGATTACATGGGAGACTTTCACGCTGCTAATCATGACGGAAGTCTGCCCGACGAAGCCTTGGCCTTGCTCAAACCAGTTCTATTAAATAGACGGCCGGGCGTTCCAGATTGGGATTCTATCCAAACCGACTTTACAAAGCCGTTCGAATTTGATCTGAACCACTACTCGATGGACTGCTGAAAGCAAACAGTTTTTTGTCTTTTGTTTTTATCTATTTTTGTCCCTCCCCTTAGCGAAAGCGATTTGAACTTGGAGAACAACCATACGTATACCGTTCCGGAAAAAGCAAAGAGTCAAAGGATCTTTTATATATACCAGTTTTGTTCCCCTCCTCGTTTTATCCACTTGTTCCATTTTACGTCTCTCTATCTCGGTTTTTGTTTCTTTGGAGCCCAGGACCCAGGATATATACCCAGCGTTATGATATGACTGATATCGCAGTGGTTTGTTTATTGGACAACAGGCGAAGAATGGGGGTTCACAATTCAGAAAAGGAAAAAAAAAGAAAAAATAAAGAAAAAAAATCCCAGAGCAAGGGAGGCGCGACTGGCGTTGGGACAAGGTGGCAACGGATTCTATTGAGCGGAAACACGCGTGGCTTTAGAGGCCATTTTCTCTTTCTTTTGCCACGGCCGTTTTCTTTTCAAGTTGTTGCTTTTTTTTTTTAACGTGACGAGGCGGGAGAGGGATTTGCGAGGACCGGTGGATAATATAGCAATTTACATGAACGAATATGAGTCTAATTCGGAACAAGTGAGAATTCTACGAGATTTGTGTCTTTTGCTCTTGTGTCGTGCATGTCTTGCTTGCAATGATGTTGATGTAAGATGGGCTAGCTGGTCCGTTTCCATGACATTGTCACATTCTCAAGAAGGGAGTTGAGGAAAACGGCATTGACTCCGTCCCAAGTCCAACAGCTGACGTCTTTTCAATTATTGTTCTGTTATACACTTTACATTTTACACCTATAGAGAGCCAGAAGTTGCGCGGTCTTGGTTACGTAAGGATAGCAAGTTCTGCCCTGGTGTTTGTGCATGTGACCGGATCCGATGGCCGATGGGGGATCAGATCAGATCAATGGAGTCTGCATGCTTAGGTTAGATTGTTTGTTGGTGTGTGTGGTTTCTTTCCATTTTCCCACTTTAGTGCCGAGACTGTCAAAGAAGCTTTTCTTTTTTTCCCCACTGCCCGTCGTTTGGTCGTGGTTTCGAGGTTTGGCGCTAGGCCTGATGGGGGATGGAGGGGGAGCCCCATCCCGACGACACGGTTCCGTTTTGGCGGGAAGGAAAGACGCGGCGACTGTGGGAAGGGGGGGCTAGACTTGATGTGGTAAGGACGGGTGGGAGATGGTTTAGGTAGTCAACCTACTACTAATGGAGAGCTCTTTTTTTTTTTGGCGTCTTTCTGGAGTCCATAGCTACAGTACTTGTACGAGTAATAACTTCAATGTTCGAGAGGGGGAGAGCAAAGCAAAGAACGAGGAGGGGGGAAAGGTACAAGGGTACAAAGGTACAAAGGTACAAAGGTACAACCCCGTTGCTCTCCGTTCCTGTGCTTTCGCGGCGGGCAGGGCAGGTGGGGCGTTCGGGGTTGCGGTCGCGCCTGGACAAGCCGCGTGAGGAACGAGGTTGGTTCTCGTTTCGCTCTAAGCCGAGCCGGAGGGGGGACATGGATGAGCGTTCTGGGGTTTATTTACTTTTTTGATTCCATCACCATCTTTTTCTTCTTTGGCAGCATCCTCGTCGTTTCTGTCATCTGCGTCGCGTTGCAGTTGAATTTTTCTACTTTGCTTGTCGATTGAGTGGTGATTTGCGAGCTACCATCATCCATCTCCATTGAGCTTGCGTCCCCTTGGGCTGTTGTGTCGTGCCGTCTCCAAGACGGGACAATACAAAACTCGAGTGCTCGGCATTCAACGGGCTTTCACGACGTCTTTGGTGCTTTGGACACGCCAATTGCATTGCATGCTACTTCTCCAGTGGGAACAATCGTACACCAAGCGTATCAATCGATATACATACTGGTGCCGTTCTGTGTCGATTCCTCTGCGCATCCTCGCACACGCGATCTTGCGCTGCCGCTAACACAACACCCCCCACCAGTAGGCGCGACATATCTTTCTGTCTTGCCGCGCTCTGGCTTTGTTCATTCAGAGATATTTTCCTCTTGTCTAGACTTTGAGCTGCTTAGAAACGCAATGGAAGCTGCCTCGTCGCCCATGAAACGACGCGCCGTGCTCGGCTCTCTGGACGCGAACGCGGCGCTGTCAACAACACCAATCGCAAGCAAAATGATCATGATGGGATCGTCAATGCTGTTGACGCCGTCGGCTCTGCTAGTGAGCAGCCCATTGATTGGGAGCGAGTCGTCAAAGGGGAAGAAGCGGACTGCGGGGGAAGACGACGAGGAAGTGGTGGATGAGAGTCCCGTGCCGAAGAAGACGTGTGTTGATGGGGTGAGCAGGCTTTTTTTTTTCCTTTTGTTTACTTTATCTTGATGTTTCTTGCATTCTTGCCGTTCTTTGGCCATGCTATTCCACGTAATAGCTGAAACAAGAACAACAAGACGTCTGGCCTGCGCGGTTGGCTTGACGCTGTACTGTTGCTGACGGAGAAATATGTGTAGGCTACGCGATCGAGGTCACCCAGTCTCGAGACAAGTTCCCTGTTCGATAGCTCGGCCGGAGATGCTTCCTGGACGACGGCAACAGAGCCAGATGCAACAGCGACCACAACTTTGCTAGCTGCCACGAGGCCTCGAGCTTTGACTAGGGAGCAAGCCAGAGAGGTAAACATCTTCCTTCCCATGTCCTTCGTATAGTAAGAATTGTCAATTAACAAGGCGTCACTTCCGCCCGTTCAGAAGGCAGAAATCCTCCGTCTACGCCTCGGCCTCGCAGGGTACAAGCTGCGCACCGGCCAAACCTCCGTCCCCCTCTCCCAACTCCAGCGCAAGCCCCTCCCGCCATCGACCACGACGCGCAGACGAGCGAATACATTTGCCCACGCGGCACGGACGAATACACACACTCGGGTTCGGAGCGTGGACTCGATCCCTCATGTGCCGGCGTTGTCGCAGGAATCGTCAGTGCTGTCGGTTAGATCAGACGCAGCAGTGACGGTGGCTGCTTCTCAGGAGAGCGTCGTGGTGGAAACAAGAGGCAACACGCCTGATCATGTCGCCGGGAATGAAGGAGACAAGGCTGTTTTTCTCGCTATCAGTGATGTAGATTCTCCTTCTAGAGTCTTTTTGTCAAGTCCAGCACCGGCGCCGGTATCGTCATTAAGGAGCACTTATACGGAGGAGGTGGATAAACAGGTATGACACAGCGAGGTGGCTTCTGTTTGACTATATCTGTGTTTGATTTGTTTTAATGGTTTTTTTTGTCTTTTCCAAATCTCGGGAATAGGAAATGAAGCATTTCGGGATCCAATTTTGATGTTATGCATACTGTATTGTTATAATAGCTAGACACACAACTCTTTGAATGATGATGATGACGATGTCATGGCGGCAAAGACAGGGGGGCTTACACGCAGCGAATAACGAGTAGAAGTAGTACACAATGAGCATATCGGCTTTTCGACCCTTTTTGTACCATTTTGTTGAGCCAATGTCTAAATGGGGCACAGTCATGGTATATGATTTTACAATATGAGTCCCTTGGAGATGATTTTTCAGACATTGTTTCGTGTTTCCCGTCCAAGTCCCTCCCGTCAACGCCTGAAACTAACAACTACCACATGAATGCTTTGCTTTGCTTTGCTTTGCTTTGCTTTACGTTGCGCTAACTCGCAGCCTATATAAAGTAGTAGGTATGTATGTATGCTTTCTGCCAACATAAAAAAAAGAATCTACACAACCAGACCCCCAACCCCATTTAATCAACCAGGATCTTGGGCTCAATCTCGCCGTAGCTGCCAAAGAACTTGGCAAACAGCTTGATGGCGTTTCCGACGTCGGCAGTGCCGCCCGTCTCGCGGATGCTGTGCATGCTGAGCTGGGGATTGCCCAAGTCGAGCGTGCGCATGCCCAGCTTGGCGGCCAGGCCGGGTCCGATGGTGCTGCCGCAGGGCGAGTCGTTGCGGACGACGAAGAGCTGCAGCGGGACGCCGGCCTTGCGGGCGCACTCCTGGAGCATGACGATGCCGGGCGAGTTTGTGGCGTAGCGCTGGTTGGCGTTGATCTTGATGACGGTGCCGCCGTTGATGGCGGGCTGGTGCGACGACTCGTACTTGCCGGCGTAGTTGGGGTGGACGGCGTGCGCCATGTCGGCGGACACGAGGAACGAGCGGGAGAGCGTCTGCTCGTAGGCCGTGGCCTCTTCGCCCTCGTGGTGGACGTGCTCGTAGCTGCCGTCGCTGGCGGCGTCACGGTTGCCAGGCAGGACGGACAGGCGCCGCAGCACCGACGGCAGCAGGTTGGAGTGGGCGCCCTGGGCGGACTGGGAGCCAATCTCCTCGTGGTCGAAGCAGACGGTCAGGCGGATGGTGGAGTCGGCGTCGAGGGCGTCGGGGCTGCTGACGGAGGAGATGAGGCCCTCGACGGAGCAGTAGGTCATGCCCAGGTTGTCGAGGCGGGGCGAGAAGACGAACTCGTCGTTGATGCCGCCGATGACGGACTTTTGCGTGTCGTAGAGCACCAGCTCAAAGTCGACAATGGCGGCCACGTCGACGCCGGCCTCGTTGGCAACCACGTCGAGCACGGCCGGGTGGTGGCGCACCGTCATCTTCTCCAGCGGCTTAAAGTCCTCGTCCTCCTCCATGGCGTTGTCGTCGCCCTCGGGCTGCTGCTCCTCGGGCTTGCTCTTGTTGAGCTCGGCGGCGGCCAGGCCCGCGATGGGGAACAGCTCAATCTCGTTGTTGGGCTCGAAGCTTGCCTGGCGGTGCAGGTGGATGGCGAGCGTGGGGATGCGCAGCAGCGGCTTGTCCACCTTGACGAGCCTCTGGACGACATTGTCGCCCTCGCGCACCATGACGCGGCCGGCGAGGCTCAGGTCGCGGTCGAACCACGAGTGCCAGATGCCGCCGCCGTACGTCTCGACGCCGACCTGCAGGTACCCGACGTTGCTCTTCTTGGAGACGGGCTTGACGCGCAGGCAGGGCGAGTCGGTGTGGGCGCCGACGATGGCGACGGGGTTACCGGGCCGCCACTTGCGGCCAATGGTAAAGGCCACGATGGACGAGCCGTTGCGGGTGAGGTAGTACTTGCCGCCGGGGCGGAGGGCCGATGCCCAAGAGTCGCGCTCGCGGATGAGGGTGAAGCCGGCCTTTTCGAAGAGGGCCGAGGCGGATTTGACGGCGTGGTACGCTTTGAAAGGAAATTGTTAGTCTGGATGGATTTGAAACTTGGGAATATCAACAGAAGATGATGGAGGGAAGCTGGGAACGCATACGAGTGGGAGAAGAGTTGACAAAGTCGACAAAGTCGAGCGCGGCCTGCGGGGGAGCCATGACGAAGGCGGTGGTCGAAAACGGTGATGTTCTGGTTCTTCTTGTAGTAGTAGCAGTTGGGCTGGTAAATGCCAAAGACTGGATTGCTGTCATCGACCGTCTCGCTGTCGAAGAGCAGATCATGCAGGTTGTGACGGTGAAGATAAAATGGGAGGGAGAATCTCGAGAAGTGCGGAGAAGTCCTAGTTGTTCTGGAGGGGTTCTGGAGGGGCTCAGGCGGGCGTTGGGCAAAATTAGAAGCTCGAGGTCCAAAAGTTCCCGGAAGCGGCACGCCTTGAAGGCGGCAGAGCGGGGCCGAGGAGGGCCGTTGAGACCCCGCGATAAGGGGGGGGGGGGGGGCGGATAAGACAGACACATTGGACAAATGTTGGTGGTTGTGAATATGCTCGACAACTCGAGGGAAAAGGAATAAATTAGAAGCAGTAGTGGATATAGATGGTTGATCCAAATATTGATACGCATTAAGCAGTAGTTGTCTTTGTTCCCCTCTCAATAAAAATCAAAAAAAATATCAAAGCAGCTATCAAAAGACAAACCCACGCGTGACGCTTCCTATCCCTTTTTTTGCGAGAAGCCCATCTATCAAGATCCCTCTACCAAAAAAAAAAGAACCAGTCTAAAAAACAAACAAACAAATAAAAAAACAAAATGCATCTCCATACCAAACTCCAGCTGCAAATCCAACCCGCAGCTCCAACTCCATCACCACAACCATACAAAAACTCTACACCATCGGCGCGTCACTCGTCTTGCGCTGGTCCGTCGTGCGTAGTGAAGTGAACGAGGTATCCATCTCCCACTTCTGTCCATCAATGCTTTCTCGCTTCAGTCCCAGCCCCGGCTGTCCAAAGCAAAGCGCAACGGCCGCCAAGAAGACAATGGAACCTTCCAGGATGATGAAGGTTGTCTGATCCTTGATGAGGCCTTTGCTATATCCGTCCTTGAGTTCCGCCACACGGTAGCAGCAACGGGCCAGGATGAGCAGCGTCGCGGTCGTCAAGCCGGAGAAGAAGGCAGTGAGGCGCCAGCCCCATCCGGAGGCGCGGCCAGACCGAAAGTAGCGGACCATGTAGTCTGCAAAGGTGACGATGAAGGCGGTCAGGACGATGACCTGGAGGCTGAGACCTGCCTGGGACACATCGACACCGACTTGGTTGGAGCCCGTGGTGTTTGCCGACATGGCGCCGCCCGCAGCCTGAAGGGCGAGGCAGACAATATCAAAGGGGATGAAGATGTAGTAAAACAGCTGGGGCTTGAAGCGAGAGAGTTCCGGGCCGAGAAACATGATTGACTTGGACAGGGTCACATAGATGGAAGCCGTGTAAAAGACGGGGGCAGTGGTGAGGGTGACTGGGCAGGAGATTCACCAGTTAGCCTAGGTAAAGCTTGGATAGGATCGGACCTTGTCTTACCAATCTGGATCATGAAGCCGTTGAAGGAAAAGGGATTGTTCCACAGCATTATCCTGCCAATGTACCCGATAATCTCGGTGATGCAGCCGACGATGACGGGGATGGTGAAGCCCCACGTCCTCCATCGCACGCCGAGATAGAGGTGAGCGATTCCAACGATGCCAAAGAGGACGCAAAAGACGGCGTTTGCGGTGAGCGAGGGACGATAGCCGAGAATGCTCCATTCCGCGGGGCAGGTGTCCAAGCTACAAGTTGTGTCGCTTCCAAAGGTGATGGTTCCAGGGGGCGGGTGAGACATGGCGATGGTGGTGTGACGTTGGGTTCGTGATTGTCCGATTTGATAGAGCTCCGTCTCTCTGATAGGTCCGTTGGTTGACTTGCTCTTGTTGGGGCTTGTTGACTCGGGGGGTATCAATGTTCAAGTATATAAATAGGAGGATGTGTCTCTTGTGTAGATGCAGAAGAGCCCTTGTTGTCTTGTCAACGACTTGTAACACAAGGGGGGCAACGGGGTCTCTTTATCGTCGTCAACAGCAAACGCCAAGTTGTCCGGGCCAGATCCACGCACGGCTCCGTTGGACAATCCATTGCCCCGTCTCTCCTCGCTCTCGTTCCAAGGCACTCCTTCGGCAATCTCCACATGGCCCAGCAAAGCCCAAAGCGAGGCCAGCCTTACGCCTCCAAGCATTCGTGGACACGACGCAGCGTCATCCCGAATAACCTTATCAAGAACGCCCAAAGAAAACCAGGGAGACGAGTTGAAATCACAAGGATCCATGCTCGAGGTGGCGCCACTGCCATCGCTTGACGCAGGCGCTGAGAGGATTTGACGACCACGGTCACAGCAATGCAAAGAGGAGCTGCCATCGTGGCTCAGCTCAGCTACTAGCATCATACTCGCATATTAGACTCGCAAGTTGGCATCAATTCTGCAGCGATAAGCCTCGTTATGGGATGAAACGCGCTGCTCGCTCTTGTTCGGCACCGAGAATGGCACGGTGGGCTGATGTTTGCATCGCCAACCTTAATCATCAGCCACTTTTTTTTTTTGCCTTTTTTGCCCTTATGAGGAAATGCTGCCCCTGTCATCTTGTGCTAAGAGCTAAACGAGTGCGAGCGAGCAGAGGCAAAGGAACAAGTTTGCATCGAAAAACAGGGAAAATAGGGATTCGGGACGGAGGATCGGGAACTGACGCGGTCACTTGCACTGCCGTCAGCACGCAGCGGAGCCTCGTGGCGCCTCCGCCAACCAGCGATTAAACCCGTCAAAGCCTCACGCCTAGAAGGGCATGTTTAGCGAGTGCGAGATGGCCTCAGATCCTTCTTATCCTTCCTCGGTGGCCAAGCTGCGTTTCGGGGCGCTGATAGGCTCAGGCGTGTTGACGTGTTCAAAGCCACCGACCCGTTCATTTCATCAGCTCTTTTCTTCATGTTTGATTGTTTTGTTAATCTATCTGGTTTTTTTTTTTATCTTCCCATTGTTTTCAAGCACGGAATACGGAGTGCGGAATTCGATTCGGGTTATCCACCAGTGGAAATGCGGCCAAGTGCTGTCAGCGCTTCTCCGTATCCCTCTCCATCTTTCGACTGATACTATTATTGTTATTACAAAACCACCAAGGAAGCGAGACGAGACAATCCATCTCCAATGTTTTCCATCATGGAACCACACCAAAACAAACCAACTTTCCCATCGAGGCGCTTTACTGGCATCATGATCCTTGGGCGGAAAACAAACACCAATTCTGGGCACCGTTACGTATGCACTTTCGTCACATCACGCATCCCGCGCCATGCCCTACAACACAGCCACAGGAGGGAAATAGCTCGATCCAGAGGGGAAACAAAGTCTTGGCTCTTTGACCACGCACTCGAGCTGGACTCTCCCCATCTCAGCACGTGGTTTCCAGCACATGGCTTCTTCACATACAGCAAATACACGTAACCTCCTGGCTAGCACGATACACCAAATTGCTCCCTACTTACTGGCCCGTATCGATGCGAGTCATGCTCCTGCGATGCTCGTTCGTCTAGCAAACGGCATTCGGAGTCTGATTCTCATCTCATCCCCTCTTCATACACCGCGATTCGCAGATGGAGATGAATTATGGGTTCCATACGAGGTATACTCGTCCTGCCCCGGCCGGCCCTCTGCTTTGACCAGATCGGGCTCAGCATCGGAGTAACAGTAATCAGTTCTTTGGCTCCATCGTATCACCGATAACGCTGATATCTCATAATGAGAGACAGCTGGATATAAATTTTGGGATATGCCAAGCACTGACCGGATCCCAGGGACCATTTACCAACAGTCACCGATATCACGACGATGACCAACTGCGAGCACAAATTGATTGCAGATGTACTTTATATACATCTTTCTGATATATTAGTTGGTCCCGGAATCACTCTCTTGATGCAAACATTCCGTATCCCATCTGCCGTTGTTAAAGATCGTCGATGCTAGATATGCGACATCAGCTCTCGTAGCTACATTTCTGGCCCCGAAGTCACAAGATAAAAAAGAAAGAAAGAAAGGCGAGACTACAGTAGGATATTAAAAACGTACCCAAGGCAACTAACACTCCGCTGCCATCAATCCCCCTACTCAAAGCAGACCGCTCTCACAGTTGAAAGGAAAGGCGCACATGTCTTATACGGCCGATACGACTCAGTGAGCCACATTCCATCTCACCCTACCCGACACAGAATCTCGTCACCGATATCGAACTCAACAGTGCCAACTATTGGCCTTTGTGTTTTGTGCCATTGTGGTATCCCACGTGGCAGCGTGCGGCCGTTGTTTCGCATCTCTTGATGCTTAACTTGTGTGCTACCGCATTGTGTTTGTTTGCATGTTTCACAGTTGCACAGTACACGAAATACTTGCCCAACCACCTCCATGGTCACACATGCTCTCTCCCACTATAATACATAATAGCTCCCCTATTTCACTGCCCAACAGATACAGCACGAAGGACTGGATTGTAACTTTGATGAGGGCATTTGGCTGGCCTGGTTTAATGTGTTAATCACGTGAGGCGGGGAGTGTCACCAGTTGACATTTTAGAAACTTGGTCTTTTCCACAAACTCCGACTTCAATGTAACTTTTCCTATAGCCAGTACCTCGGGCATATACGAGTGCTCCAAATATATGAAGAAGAAAAAATGAAGAACCCAGCGCAGCTCCCAATCCAATTACAGCTCGTTCACCTACGCAATGTCCTGTCCATGAACCCAACCCTCGTTCTTGTGCTTACACGTGCCGCATCACTTAACCTGCCCAACTGGTACCTCGCCGCCGGTGCCCTATCACAAACCATCTGGAACAATGTCTCATCACTCCCTCCTGAGACGGGAATCCACGACTACGATCTCGTCTACCACGACGCCTCCGATCTCTCGTATGAAGCCGAGGACGTGGTCATCCAGGCCGGCAAGCGGCTCTTCGCCGACATCCCCGTCGAGGTCGAGATTCGTAACCAGGCCCGCGTCCATCTTTGGTATGAAAAGAAATTCGGGCTCGCACGTCCGGCTAACCAGAGCGTCGAGGATGGCATTGACTCGTGGATATCTACAAGCGCGATGCTTGGTGTGAGGCTGGACGGGAACGGGGAATGGATCTTTTATGCGCCTCGCGGTCTATCCGATTTCTTCAACATGGTGGTTAGGCCGAACACGGCCTTTGCGAAGAGGGAGAATTATGAAAAGAAGGTGGAGCGGTGGAAGGCAATCTGGGGGGGGCTCAAGGTTGAGGCTTGGCCGGAGAATGAATGAATAAATGTATGTAAATAAGCACATGGGTCGAGTTGATATTCATGCTTTAGAAACAAGGTCACAAATGTCGGCTGCTAACCTACAAAACCACAGAATTCCAATGTTGGATAATGCTAGACACGGTTTAGAAATGTACACAAGGTAGTTGATTGACGGCTACACTGTAGTAGCCACAGAACTGGCCCGTGTGGAAAGATTCTCATTATAATGAAACCCGGACACTTGCAGTATTTCAGTCACTACTGTACCAATGTCTGCGTATTGTTTCACTGGCTACTACATACCTTAGATACCAACATCTGTGGAAGCCATAATAAGCCACAATGTTATTCAACGCAAAACGCACAAGCATCACCAACCAGCCCAACATCCAAAAAATACACATCAAACCAATACGAGTACAGTCCCAACCCAAAACCTCGACCAAAAAAAAACCTCACGTCTATTCACACAAAGCACAGCCCTCCCATCCACCTCGGATCATCCGTCTAACGTAATCCAACAGAAATCCCATACAATCAACGCCAATACCAACCTTGCCAGCCAACACAATAACACTCCGTATGCCCCTCCATTGACGTGTCACGCACAGATCGCCAGCTATTCTTCCCTCCCCCCAAGTGTCAAACCCGCACAGCATTGTCGCGTAGTACTTCATCTCCATCTCCCACCAATCAGCAGAGGCCGTCACCTTCTTTCGGCCTAATTTCCGTCGCTCGCACCAAGCTATGCCCACAGAGGCAAGTTGGGTGCTTTACGAAATGAGCATCGACATGGGAGGGCTCCATACAAACCCATTTGAATACGCTCGGGCGAGCAGGGGGAAAAAACGCTCCTCAGAATCAAGAGCAGCCCCCCTCCCTCTTTCGAGGCCTATACGATTTGCTAGGTATACGAATCAAGACATGACACGGCGAAATGGGAGGCACGCGGACAAGGTAGTATAAAAAAGGTAAAAAGTGTAATCTTTGAGAAAGGCTAGAAAAGCACAAGTCGTTAAGTTGATATCTCAGTTCGTGACCAAAAAATGCTTCGTTCAAAAAAGACATCCAGGACAGCACCCGCAGTCGGTTGTCTGACGGGAATCGTCCCCGCGAACGCCCGTACAATTAGAATATTAAGTATACACACTCCAAGGGGTATAATCCCGATTGCCGTAAAACTCTAGTATTATTGAATAAAAAGTTCTAGTTCAACTTCTGTACATGTCCAACCAGATCTCAGGGGCGCCTGTCGTGTGTGTGTTTGCCATGTCCCGCAGGCCTTTAATTCAAAAATGACTTAAAGGAAACGTTTAAGCGAGGATCAGGGCAGCGACACCGGCAACAGCGGCGAAGACGGCAGAGCCAGCGAAAGAGCCAGCGCCGTTGCCGAGAGGAGGAACACCAATGCTGGATTTAGCGTTAGCACATCAAGTTCAAATATCAATATCGAAAAGGGTGGATATATGTAAACTCACGTTCCGTTGCCAGCAGGGCCGGAGGGCGTAGGGGGGACAGCGCCGGTGCCGGAGGGAGCGGGAGCGCCGTTGCCGCCAGCAGGGGCGGTAGGGCAGGCGACGGCGACGGTCTGGTACTCAACAGAGGTGAGGACGGTGGTGTAGCTCTTGGTCACGGCAATGACGGAGCTGCTGGGGCAGACAGGAGCAGCAGAGCTGATGGGGGCGCCGGGAGCACCGCCGGTAGGAGCAGCATAGCCGCTGGTGACAGCGGGAGAAGATCCAGCGGGGGCGCTGTAGACGGGAGAAGAGACGGCAGGAATGCTGTAGACGGGGACGGAGACGGGAGCAGAGCTCTCACCGCCAGCGGGGCCGGTAGGGTAGACAACACCGGTGCTGTTGGACCAGACCTGGGAGGTAGGGACAACAGTGGGAGTGGCGGTGGCGGTGACCGGGCAGATGGTGGTGGAAACAGCAACAGTCTCGGTGGACAGGACAGTGCTGTGAGCCGGGCAGTTGGTGACCTCAGGGCCACACGAGGTGATGGTGTGGATGGAGGTGGCGTAGACGGTAGAGGTGGTCAGGGGGATGTAGTTGGTGGCCACGGAGGTGGTCTGCTGGCGGGCCGGGCAGTTGGTGACGGTCTCAGGGCAGGCCGTGATGGTGACCAACTCGGTGGTGTAGTCGGTGGAGACGGGCTCCTGGGCGAGGACCGAGGTGGCCAGGACAGCAGCGGCGACGGTGAAACGCATCTTGATTGTCTTATTTGTTTTTTTGGTGGTTCTAGAAGAACGAAGTAGTTTTGTTGGTTGAGAGAAAGAGTGTGTGAAAGCGTAAAGCTTCGTTTGCTGGTTTGGTTTGTTTGAAAGAATGGACGACCGAAGTCAGAGCGAGCTGGCGATTGTGCTTAGTGGGCTGAGGAAGAAAGAGAGGAAAAAAGAAGAAGGCTCCTCGACTGAGCGTGGCCTCATATTAATAGGCATATCGACCAAAGAACAACCTCACCTCGACTGCCACCCATTGGATGCCCCGGGAAATTGCGTCCAGAACGGATGCCAATCTAGGGGGTTCACAAGTGGATGTCGTGGTGGAGATGCTTGTCGCGCCAGTTTCATCCGCCTCTCAGAAGAGCCAAGATGGAAGACCCACGAACCATCCCGGGCCTGAGACCAGCCAACCCCTGTCTCTGATATCTGCAGGTACAACATCGCTCCATACTGTGTGGCAAACGGCCAGGGCCATCGCGCGAATGAGCAACCACATCAGCATGTGGGTTGTGTGTGTGTGTGTGTGTGTGTTTGTGCTCCTGCAGCGGCAACAGATCACCTCCCCCATTGGCCGGGACCCCTGCGTCTGTCTTGGCCACTTTGTGCGAGTCCTCCGTACGAGGCAATGGAAGCGCAAATCGCTGTGAGCAACTGGGCATGAACGACTGAAGCAATGGCGCCCGTCCCCGTCCACGAGACAGACGTCTCTCGCTCATAACATCTGTCTATGAGCACGGAGATGCTCGTCTTGGTAGCGGCATAAGAGTACGAGCACAGTACAGCACCTAGAGATGCGTCGTTAATTACCGTCGTCTTTCTAGACCTGTAAAATGCTCATCGTCCTTGATGATGATAATTCAACCACGACATACATGCCTTCATTTCAACCTTCTAAATTGGCCTTCGTTAATGACTGGAGCTTCTTCGGCAGAAATGGCCTCCACGGACAAGAGAGGACGGAGTACGCGAACAAGTACCTCGTCGACGCTGTGCTAGTCGCCGGCTTCATCGTTCCGCTGGTTACAAGTGTGATTATGCTTGCACTTTAATCTCTGGAACCCAATAGTCCAAGCTCATATTGTGCTGCCTTGCACAGGCATCACGTTCCAACACGAGTCCAAAGTGACACGGCTGAGGATCTTGACCGATCGGACTCGGGAGGCGGGCCTCTGTGCCTTTGTTTTCAGAATCCAATCTCAAGTTGATCTATTTTGTGGGCTCCGAGAGGGCACCGTTTGATGACAGTGTTGTCCAGGCTACGACAAGCGCAGCGGAATACTCGTACGCAAGGAGGGAGGAAGGGGCGGCGACAGAATGCTGGGACTTGCATGAGGTTGGCGAGATTGGCGAAGTTGGCCCCTCCCTCTGTTATTGAGCAAGTATCCTGAAGCCAGCCGTAGCAGCTCGTCTCATCATCACAAAACAAGTACAAAGCAGTGTCGAGTAACATCCTGCAGTCGATGTTGCATCTGTACTCATATGCCGACCTCCTGAGAAATACAGTAGCATTTGCCGTAATTCAGCATCGCCGGGGATGATATTCCAGGTACTGTATCTAGCTGCCCAGTCCATCCAACCTTCCTGTAATGGATATTTGTCTTCACAGCAGGGGATTTTCCAGACGCCGTCTGCCGCCCGGGTTCCCTCACTAATACCTACTAGGTAGTGGCGTCTTATTTCATTCGAACAACAGTACTTCGTAGTGTCTGTCGTCTGATTCGGGATTTGTCGACCAGTTGCTCCATGGACAAATGTGCGTTTGCACGATCCAGCGGTTGGGAGTCCGTAAATCTGGATTCTCCTCAGAACGGTATTAGCCTATCTGCCAGCCGTGTTTGTTTTCTCGTAGCCATGTCTTGGCACAGCTCCCGATCTTTCCAAACAAACAGAAATCCAGGTACCATCGTATGCCAGGGGGGACGTTTGCCCTTGTCGTAACAGAATCCAGAACAGCAGCAAGGAGGGAGTAGCTCCCCACGTGCACCGTATCAACCCAAGCCAATTGGCACGTTACAGAATGGGTAGACGAGCCCGGGTAGAGAGAGCTCTGCATTTGCCTCATACTGGCAACCACGGCGGTGCTCCATCTTGCCTGTGCTACTAGCAAGGCATGCCAGGTCTCTTTGCTGACGGGGTGGAGTCGTCAGACAGCGCGACCAGCATCAACCGAGTAATAGTCGTGCTCCATATCAGTCCTTATGCTAGCACTTTGCGAATGTGCTTCTCGAAAAGCAGTGTCGCATGGGACAAAATAAAGAAGCGGTGACATTCGTCCTGGCAGCGCGGAGTTTGCCGTGCCGATGCTGGCAATGCTGCTTGCCTCTTCCTACTGTACAGCATTCCCCCGACAGGTCTAGCACCTACTGTACTCGTACGGGGACTCGAAAATATCGCAGCTGGCATTGAAAGCAGAGGCGAGGCGAGGATCCGTATCCCTAATATGGATGTCACAGCGATATTGCATCGTAGTCCGTCTGTTGCAGTACTCCGCAAATACGGCGGTAGTCTCGCTCCTGCGTGGCCAGATTTGGCATCGTCAGCCAACACGATACGATGACAAGCACACTCCAAGATTCCGCAGAAAACCCGCCGTTGCGTGCGCTAATGCAGGAACCGTCCTTCATCCGCCCATCTCTTGGAGATTTGTGTCCTCTGTGGCTTGCCTCGAACCAATCTTGCTTTGCGCCCGCCCGCATTCTGTGGAGTCGCCAGAGGGAAAAAAAGGCGTCTCGTCGGCCAGTCCAAAAGATGGGGGAGCAACGCAAATTAGCCGCGGAAGGGCACAGCCAAAGCTA